CTGTCCCTTAAGGAGAAGCAGTTAAATTCTTGAGATTAGGCTGTGAAAATAATGGATTAGTCGATAAAAGCCCCTTCCGTTCCGTACTGATGTAAAAGCTATAAAAGAGTTGTAATTTCGCCTCTGAACAAAATCAGAACCTTACAGTTATCAATTAATAAATTAATAAAATAAATAATCATATTAAATATTAAAATTCCTTCATTATCTTGCTTATCACCCTTGTCATGTCTCTGACGAGTTGCTTTGTCTATCTTTAATTACAATTTAAATTTATTGCTCTGTTATTTCACCCGTCACGTCAAATGCGAAGAATTAAATTTATTAAAATATATTGTTAAAAGAGTAGACTGGTACCTAGATGAACTATTTGCCCTATCAACTATATGGCGTTCATTAAAATACTGTGATATCTCTCGTAAAAAGGTAATTAAAATTAAAATTAAATTAATACTGTATATTAAAATTAATTCTTTCAAATAATCATTTCTTAATAATTAGCTGCAAAAATTAGCATCTGAAAGAAATGAGCTTTTACGAAGTGCTTTTCTTGCCAACATTGGAGCGAATTATCATCCTGATCAATCACTTTTTATAGAAGAATCAGTAAAAGACGAACGCATTTTGAACAGATATTACCTGAAACACTCGTGCATATAAAAAAAAAAACAATTTTCATTTTCATTCGTGGTAAAAGATATACGATTTTACCAGCACTCTCATTAGATGGTTTTTTGGCAGTTGATATTTTAGAAGATAATTGCAGTCAAGAACAGTTTTATAAATTTATTTTATCTCAAGTGGTAAGTCAATTAAATTTATTACTATTTGTCCTTTTTTTTTGTTAATATAATAATAAATATATATATTTAAAAATAGATTCCCACCATGAATCCTTTTCCAGAAACCATAAAATTATAGCACTTAATAATAGATAATGCATAGTGAATTTTTATTAAAATTGTAGAACTTGGGTGTCGTATAATTTTCTTGCCTCCCTATTCACCTTTTCTTAATCAATAGAGATGACTTTCAGCACCATTAAAAAAACCTGGATCGTAGAAATAGGGATTTTATGAATACCACAAGTGCTGAAATTACACCTGAAATTACACCCGAAATTGCAGCATGTTTTTTCGTAGATAGTTTATTTTTTGAATAAACATTTTTTGTATTTAGTACAGTACTTGTATGTTGTTTGTTTGAAGTTATGATATCATGTAATTTCATAGATGAAATCATATGTAATTTAAATTTAAAGGTGTGTGATGTCAATATATTCATTAAAAATTGTGTTAGAATGATTCAAAATTTTTTCTATTGAGAACTTGTATGCATATCTTGCTTAGCTTTAATGGTGTTACATGTATATTAAATTCTATAACTATTGCTAACAGATTTATATTCATGTTTGTAAGAAAAAACTAAAATTATGAAGTAAATCTGCCGTGTAATATGTACTGGGCAGCTCACATCCCTAGCACTGATCTTAATTATGAGGGGATATTGTTTTTGGAGAATACTGCAAGCAGTAGTCAACGGCAACTCAAGAAACTATTATTACAAGGAAGTAATATATATGGCACTATTATTTTGAGGTTGGGTTACCTGAAATTCATGAATTCTCGGATCAGTGTGCGAAATTCAATGTTCTCTGAGAACATAAAAAATATCAAAATCTATTATATAGATGTTCTTGTGAGAACATATAATTAAATTTGAATTTCACACACTGACTCGAATAACCCGGACAATCTAATAGTATCCGATGAAGATTTTCAACGGATTCGATCTTTACTATTATTACTTAATGTTAATAAAGTTTACTAAGAACTGATATGTCATTAAACGCTAAATAGATTGATAATATTCTAATTCGTAGAATTTCTCTAACATGATTGAAAAGTTTCGATTGGCAAGTGTTGCAAATATCAAATTTAATTGATTTAATGAAGCTCAATGAAGTGTCAAATTTATTTACTATTGGAGTCAATCGACTAAAACTATTAATAACTATTAGTCATAGACTAATCGATTAGAAACAAAAAAAAACTTAATCAATAAATATTCGCGTATAAACATGATTAATCATTTAATCATTAGTTCAATAGACTGATTTCTATTGGTTTAGTTTGAGGGACGAGTCGATAACTAACAGAATTCGATAAGGTACACAATAACATTAATATTAGGATGAGAGCCAATAAAGCCTTTTTTACAGCATATAATTTTTAAGATATCGATAGTTTGAATTTTTCACACTGCTGATGAAATTAAACTAGCGGTGAAATAATTTTACTACTAGTGTTAAATTGGTAAAATGAATTTCGTTAGCATCTCTAGTTTTAACAACTTCGAAATATTCATCAGAATAATCAAAAATATAAATTTTATTTTGTTATGATAAACAAAGACAATAATAATAGATATATCATGATAGGAAAATAAAAATAAGTTAAAATATTTACATCTAGCAGAAATATTTTAATAACTAATATCTATATATTAGTGTTAGCATTTCTGTTTATATGAATTTCTTACAACAGTATATGCTATTCGTATCAAACTAAATAATCATATAGATACTGAAAGTCACGCGTGGGTGATTTGAGAAAAGAAAAAATTTCCTATCATCTTTTTTAAGCAATGTTAAATAACAGAATAAAGAACACATTAATCTTGTATAATAACACGTGCCCTAGTGTATACTTTCATTTTTTCAGGATCTTCTAGCTCAGATCCAAAAAGTGGAAATGAACAGAATTGCACTACTAAATTACTAACATCACTATCGTCCCAAATGCCATCCATGAAGAGTGGATCAAAAGGCTTATTATTTTCAATCCACATGTAATCCACTATTGGTTCCTGTATATGTCTTCGAAAATAAAATATACTAATAACATCACGAATAAGAGCTGACGCTTGTTTCTCAATTTCTCTTCTCTTGGAGGCATCATTAATAGTACGATATTGATTTATCGTGTTAATAAGTTGTTTGTTACTATTAGATATAAATGAATGCTCAAGGTTTCCTTCTTCACAGGTTACATCTGAAAATGCCAAATTTCCGAGAACCATATATATTTGTTGTCGTACTTTTGTCGGAATTGCTTTCATAATATCATTACTACCAGACCTTTCATTAGACAATTTGTAAAAATC